GAGCTCTTCGGAACAAAAAGTGCGCATTGAGCTTCATGCATATAGCTATCTTTCTCTCTATTCCCGTCCCCTATTTTCTTCCTTTTCTTCCCAGATTAGCCAGCCATCCATGAGTCCACACTCTCAGCGTAGCGGTACCGGCTCATGATCTCGGTCAGGTGCCGGGCAGTGACTGCAACGTTTATCCGTGGTTTACCGACCGACTGTTTATTATTTACACCTCTGACCTCTGACCTGCACCTCCCTGACCTATGGCGAACACCCTGTGGACCCGTTCCTCCTTCTGAGCTGACCCCAGGTCGGTGCTCTTCGCCGAGTGTCTCGGTGCCGTGCGGCGGCGCCGGTCGGCGCTCCAGCCCCCTGCCGGTCGCGCTCGACGTCTGGCCAGTGATCAATCACTTCGCCAAGTCATCAGACCTCCGGCCGATCGCCGGCGACATTGTACGAAACTCAGGAGCAATTCTGACGCTGCTAGAGCCGAATCAATCACGGCACGAACCGGCCACCCGTGCCGTGCCCGTCGCTCATTGGGCTCGCTCTAATGCCCCAGGAAGCGTGTCGCTAGGGCGGAGCTACCGGGTATGTTCGTTACCCGGAATTTCCAGTCTGGTCATTTACACGGATTTTCGGTGACACGGCACTCTAAGCCGTGACCAGTGACCACTGGCCGTATGACAGCATTTCTAAGCGTGTCCCTTTTAAAAATTACCGGGTGTGCACTCCTTGCGCTGTGAACTCTGAGTGCTGTAGCCAGGAGGTAGGTACTCGGAGTTCCAGGCCGTGTTTTAGACCGCCGCGGTGCCAGGAATACTGTGATCAAAATGAATGAGTGATAAGATAGGCAGCTATGTCTGATGAGAAAGAGCCGTTTAATTAGTTAGCCGAGCCGAGACAGATCGCTCATATTCGCTGTATGCACATTTGACTTACCTCACCTCAGGCTGTTCACGTTGTTATCACTTTCCTACTGATGAAAGGAACTCACAATTATGTAAAATTGCCCTCGTGGGGCATAATTGCTGCAATAAATGAGAACCGGCTACAGCGCTAAGCAAATGAAGCGCAATTTAATGAGCAATGGGCATCCTGAAAAGTATATCGGGGCTAAGAACTTTCATAATTGTCGGTCCTTGGAAGTGAACCTTAGTCTTACTGCTGTTGCCATGCATAGGGACCAGCACTTTTTGGTAGTAGATAGATAGCTTTGAAATACGCAGTTAGACCTACACACAGAAAAATATTAACACCGTTAGCGGTGTAATTGCACAGTACATATCTGAGCACTTGAGGAAAGTTAATTTAGTCCCTTCCCCGCTTAAATTACTCGCGCTTCCAAATGAACACCAGGAAGAAGGTAATAGAACAGTCGTGTTTACATAGGGTTCCCTTAATCTTCCCCTATTTCTCCCCTATTTTCAGATCGAATTTTAGGCATCATAGCGCTCGCGTGTAACGTTGCTATGGACGCTGTTGTTGCTAGAAGCATACTAAGCATCGTTTATGCTGTAAACAATATAAATTGGGCTTATTTAATACACGAAATTCAACAATTCATATTTTGAAGTAATTTTATCCTGCCCTTCAATTCCCTCTTTAAGCGACAAATAGGGGAGGATTTGGTAGCGTAGCGCCTTTCCAAAAGCTGCTACGCTACCATATCCAGTGGTTCTCAAACTATCACATCACAAAAGCGGCGTGCTGATTGGCCGGCAGTTCCGAATCGTCCGACTGGTGGTCCCCGACTCGACAAGCGCACGTGCGCCGACTGAGGATTTTTAAGTGGCATTAACGCCATTAACGCATAAATGGCAGAAAGTCAAGGTGGAAATTCGACAGGTGCGGTGTTCTGATATTGCCGAGGATGTGATTACACCTACTTGAATAATAGCTCAGCCGTTTAAAGTATGTTAAATGCCAGATAGTTTTCTGATTTTTCTTGCTTTGAGCTTTCATGTGCTATCACTTTTACCTCAGTGTCTAGTCTGGAAGCTATTTGGGAGAGCCCTAAAGGTAAGTAACAATTGCAAACTGCTTCTAGAATGACTTAGTTGCGCCATATTTGTAGTGAAGCGAGGTAAAGGAGACAGAGGATTCCTTTATAAGGGACATTTAAGAGACAAATAGGGGAAGATTAAGGGAACCCTATGTAAACACGGTTACTGTTAGGAGGGTTGGGTGTTTTGCTACATGTAGGGGAAAGTGGGGTAAGACGGGCACCTTAACTTTGGAGCCATTTTTCGGCCGGTTAGAAACATCATAGAAACGGGAAACTGGGTGAAAACCTTTTTCAGACATTTTACTTTCATTTGCCAGAAGATGAGACTTAGACCTGATTCAACAAATAAACTGCAGCTATTTTTGCAAAACCTTGCAAAAACCCGTCTTACCCCACCCCATGGGGTAAGACGGTCACATGGGTAGGGCAAGACGGCCAGCTTCTTTCACCGATCAGCGCAGCTCGCAACAAATGCCCGAGATTAGCCGCATTTATACAGTCGCTCGTTGGTCTCAAGTGCTTCGGAAATGGCAGTATACGAGATTCGTGCAGAAGGCGTATGCTCCTATATAGGCCCTAGTTCAGAAGCCATGTAGAACCGTTTTTCACATTCATTATTCGAGAATAAACTGTGCCGAAGGAATATTGCTAACATGTCTGTGAGTATCGGAATCGAACATATTCTTATTAGAAATGCTTCTTTTTTCCTACAGCAACAAAAATATTTTCACCATTACAGACCCATTGGGTTCATAGTTGCCCGTCTTACCCCAAACTCAATGTCAGAAGTTCAGCACGATTTTTCGCTGTGGACAATTTGATGCAGACAAAGCAAATCCGCCGTAAATGAACACTGTTGGCATATGAGTGTACCACAAGTGATTGCGAGTTTTTAACTCTATAGTGCTGTACACAAAAGCTTGCACAATACATTATGGATGTTTTCAATGAAATGAGTGTTTTAAAGAAATCAAAATAAAAGATTATCGACTGAACACAAATTCACCAGACTTGAATGGTGGTGTGTAGTGGGAAAGGCAATTCTGGTCCTAACTTTTCTTGCTCGTAGCGCTATTGGTTTGGTCTGCAGAAGGGGTGCCCGTCTTACCTACCCTGACCGTCTTACCCCACTTTCCCCTAGTAAAACACCCAACCCTCCTAACAGTGTTCTATTACCTTCTTCCTGGTGTTCATTTGGAAGCGCGAGTAATTTAAGCGGGGAAGGGACTAAATTAACTTTCCTCAATTGCTCAGATATGTACTGTGCAATTACACCGCTAACGGTGTCAATATTTTTCTGTGTGTACAAATATACAGGGTGATTTTTTTTTTTTACTTGTTAAAAAGTAATGAGGTTTAACGGCGCTAAAATGCAAATATATATTGTAAAATTATATACCAGCATGACGAGCATTCTGGGACATTTTGATTTCATGCAGACACGATGTGAAGGAACGTCCATCGTGTATTTTACTTGTGCTTGAAGTTACCCCCTCTCTCACCAACACGCATCAGCCCGCCTGAGCACGTGTTGAACAGCACCATGGACTGTCATGCTCATTAGGCGGACTGAAAAGGCTCCTATCACCCATTTTCAGCTCTGCCAGATATTTCCAATGTTTTCTTGTTATATCTGCCATACCTGGGTCCAAAAACTAGAAGTCTAGAAAGGGCAGGTCGAGGATTTTGCTACTGGCGGCCCTGGTGGTGTCTGATTCGCTGTTTTTGTTTCTCCCTGAAGACTGATTATTCAGAGGCTGCAGGTACGCCAGATGGACCGTTTGAAGGTTATTCATGACTACAAGCTTGTTCGTGCATTATTTAACGTCTTTCTGAGGCATCTCCTTGATGATCGTATGCTTCGAACTGCCTCAATGCTTCAAAATCATCGTTTTGTGTCGTTCCTTACTGAACAGCGGTGGACCATGCGTGCCCGATTGGTGGGACATTTTCAGGCTCCATTGGGGCCGAGGCCTTCGGTTAAAAGGGACAAATCATGACACCATGCAAAATGTCCCAGATTTATCTATCACGTGCATTGCTTTTTTGCACAAGATTTTTCGATTTAGGGACCACCATTGACGTTTACTTTTTAACAGTTAAAAAAAATCACTCATGACGCACACGTTACGGTGATCTCTTTGGCCCAAATTTATTTTATTACTTAATTCAAAATCCTTTCAGAAACGTTTCAAAAGAACGTTGACGACAAATATCCTGGAATGGAATCCTCATATTTGCATCAATGACATTTCAGTCCTGCCTAAAAGGAACGTCAACTGGATACCAGTGTTTTGGTGCATCGATATAACACGATATAACACTATATCCATTTTTCAATTTCATATTTGGAATTTCAAGTCTAGAACTGTTGGCATAAAACTCTCGTTTCTATAAATCTTAGGGGTTGCCTCGGTTAGCCTTAGCTACATGTCGCGCGCTTTCTTTGCTCGCTGGCATGTAGTTTTCTACGCTGTTGGTTTTTGTTTGCAGTTCATTCCGTCGCCAAAGGCATGCAGTGCTTTCCGGCGCCGTCGTGACTTTTGCCATCAGCACACATACTGCTGGCGGCACACTCCGAATGAGTAGACAATTTCCGGCGGTTCTGCAGAGCCAACGGCCGCCCAGAAATGCAAAGCAGGGTCAAGCAGGCGTAATTGGTGCGTCAAGCCGAAAAGTTTTAGACGACAAATGACCTTATGAGGTGTAAAAAGTGTGTCGTGATACGGCGGCGGTAGGAGCGGTTGAAACAAGCAGTGCAGTCACGTTCACTGCCGCGATTTCCTTTTGACCTGAACCGGTCATCGCTTTCCTCGTCTTCATAAGTCGCGTCTTACTAGATAAAAAATGTTTTCAAATTATACGTGATATATAGTTTAATTGCATCCTAGCTAGAGATAAAAGCAATTTGCTTTTACATTCACAACATATCTGGACTTACGATGAACCACTTCTGTTCACTCGCTCACCAACTGACTGTTTCCGTGCCCTGTTTCCCTCGCAGGTGTCCTGGGTGCGGAAGCGGGACCTGCACATCCTGACTGTCGGCATGTTTCCGTACACGACCGACACTCGCTTCAAGGCGCTGCACTCGGACGGCACTCAGGAGTGGACACTCAAGGTGCTGGGTGCCACGATCGCCGACAGTGGCGTCTACGAGTGCCAAGTGAGCACTCAGCCCAAGATGAGCCTGAGCTTCACCCTGCAGGTGGTCGGTAAGTGGCCTGCGATCGTTGTCCGGTGACCAGTGATCCACTCCAGTGTCAGTGACCAGTGACCCACTCCAGTGTCAGTGACCAGTGACCCACTCCAGTGTCAGTGACCAGTGACCCACTCCAGTGTCAGTGACCAGTGACCCACTCCAGTGTCAGTGACCAGTGACCCACTCCAGTGTCAGTGACCAGTGACCCACTCCAGTGTCAGTGACCAGTGACCCACTCCAGTGTCAGTGATCAGTGACCCACTCCAGTGTCAGTGACCAGTGACCCACTAATGACCTACAATCTTACTTTAAGCTTCATGACCTTGGCATTGATATTCTGAACAAATGCACAAAGACATTGTCTGATGTCTACTAGTTACTACCATTAACCCTCGCCGGCCGAGGGGGGGGCGGGTGCCGCCCCCCCATAGGGTTTTTTCGCGATAGCTCCGAACACGCTGGCGATAGAGAGCTGAAACTTGGCATACCTGACCTTTGATCCAAGCCGCATCTTTTGACACCAACCGCATTTTTGGGTCAGGTCAGGTCACTGACCTATGACGTCATAAGTGAACCTCTGCACGGTCTTCAGATGTCGCAACTTCGCAACGCCCTCACTGCCAGAGGAGATGTCACAGGGAAATGAAACTTGCAGGATCTAGTATCCATTATGAGTCCCACAACTTGTATATCTCGGATTTTTCCTAAAGGTCATATGAGGTCAGGTCATTTTCGTGACCTCACCATTATAAGTCAATGGGGAAAAATTCAAACTGCTATTCTGGCGCCGGGAACGATCTCCAACTATCTCAAGCACACAGAATCGTGATTTTATGCACTCCTTGCAAGGTTAGATGCGTCACTTTTGCAATGTTGACCTTGCGTGACGTCATTTATGACGTCATCAAGGTCATATTAGTTTTTCGTCAATAACTCTTGATCAAATTGAGCTAGCGAGTCGGGAAAGCCACCAATGGACTCAGGAAGACCTGCCAAATCGAATGATATGCGACATGACCCCTTTCGACCAACTTCGTGACCTGGGGGTGCTGACCTGACCTTGACCTGAGGTCAACACCCCAAGTTGACCTGACCCGGACAAAAAGTATATCATTCGACGCGCCTGAGCGAGACGAACACGATGCTGCCAAAATCGGCGCTCTGCGGCCGTTTTTTGCGAAGTTATTCACCAAAAACTGAACCGTACCTTGGGGCACTTGACCTGACCTCAGAGGTCACGGGTTGACCTAGGACCTTAAAATCGGGTACCAATCTCTGCGTCTCGTAACGGCGCACACGTTCGTTTTTTCCGCGACGCGCTAGCTCCACCAGGGGCGAAACGGCGAGGGGGGGTCGTACCCGCCCCCCCCCCCTCGGCCGGCGCGTATGTAGAAAACCAATAGGTCCGGCGAGGGTTAATCTACATACGAGTTCACAGAAATCGGCAAATAATTCGACATCATTTTTTTAATGTATTCAAATATAGATTCATGGATAATTATAATAAATATTTTCCTCCAAAATATATCATTGAACATAAGCTTTAAATCACGTCTTTTTTAAATAAACCCAGCAATCCTGCATCACCTGCCTTCAGCTATGACATCATTTCAGATAATTCAGTAACGGTTTGTGGACCTGCTCGTCTCTCTAACGCAGTTCTCTTTGTACGACCAGTGAATTAATTAAAACAGCCAATAGCTCTGGCCAATTGAGATAACGTCTCATACATTCTAGTTTCCCTGCAAATCTTGCCAAAATCTGGCGTACGATCCCGTACCGCTCTGAGGAGCCGGAAGCAGCCGCTCGAGAGAGCTCGACATGGGGTGATATATCTCCTGCAGTGCATCGGCTCTTTCTGTCGGTCTGCGGCCCACTCCCATCCCCTCCCCCTCCATCTGCCTGCCCCGGCCACCACTCGAAAAGACAGCGGAACGGACAGCTCGCTTCCAGCCGGCAGCCGCCGGCCGGCCCCGGTGTTATTCGCCCGTTTGAAAAAGGAGCAGAAGATAATAGTGGCTCAGTTCGCCATTCTGACGGCAGGAGAATAAGGCAGTCGGAATGGCTAATGGTTTGAATATTATAGTTAATCTTATTATAAACTTAAGTGACAGATATGAGCTTTTATTGCCTTGGCTTAACCCTCGCCGGCCGAGGGGGGGGGGCGGGTGCCGCCCCCCCCATAGGGTTTTTTCGCGATAGCTCCGAACACGCTGGCGATAGAGAGCTGAAACTTGGCATACCTGACCTTTGATCCAAGCCGCATCTTTTGACACCAACCGCATTTTTGGGTCAGGTCAGGTCACTGACCTATGACGTCATAAGTGAACCTCTGCACGGTCTTCAGATGTCGCAACTTCGCAACACCCTCACTGCCAGAGGAGATGTCACAGGGAAATGAAACTTGCAGGATCTAGTATCCATTATGAGTCCCACAACTTGTATATCTCGGATTTTTCCTAAAGGTCATATGAGGTCAGGTCATTTTCGTGACCTCACCATTATAAGTCAATGGGGAAAAATAAAAACTGCTATTCTGGCGCCGGGAACGATCTCCAACTATCTCAAGCACACAGAATCGTGATTTGATGCACTCCTTGCAAGGTTAGATGCGTCACTTTTGCAATGTTGACCTTGCGTGACGTCATTTATGACGTCATCAAGGTCAAATTAGTTTTTCGTCAATAACTCTTGATCAAATTGAGCTATCGAGTCGGGGAAGGCACCAATGGACTCAGAAAGGCCTGCCGAATCGAATGATATGCGACATGACCTCTTTCGACCAACTTCGTGACCTGGGGGTGCTGACCTGACCTTGACCTGAGGTCAACACCCCAAGTTGACCTGACCCGGACAAAAAGTATATCATTCGACGCGCCTGAGCGAGGCGAACACGATGCTGCCAAAATCGCGGCTCTGCGGCCGTTTTTTGCGAAGTTATTCACCAAAAACTGAACCGTACCTTGGGGCACTTGACCTGACCTCAGAGGTCACCGGTTGACCTAGGACCTTAAAATCGGGTACCAATCTCTGCGTCTCGTAACGGCGCATACGCTCGTTTTTTCCGCGACGCGCTAGCTCCACCAGGGGCGAAACGGCGAGGGGGGGTCGTACCCGCCCCCCCCCCCCTCGGCCGGCGCGTATGTAGAAAACCAATAGGTCCGGCGAGGGTTAAGACCTGACTATGACACCTATCTTAACCAGACATCAGCATGCATTTCCCTACGTTATGGCTATTAGATCCGAAATTATCATTTATTACCTTTCCCACTTAAGAATCGAAAAATCATAATCTTTAGATGGCTGATTAGATGCTAACTCCAATTCGCTCTTACTGACGTGCAACAAACTGCAAGCAGAGTTTCACGCTTTGTATGTTATTGTCCTTGCTATTCAATAGTTCTTTTATTTCAGCAAACAACGCCAACGTATGAAGCAAAACACAATATGTAAGCATCACAATATGTCTCCATTCTTTGTAACCAATGGATCGGACCCACCTCAATGTATGGATAGTTCCTGAGCCAGAAACCCACTGTGTGTAAAGCCCTTTCATCGTGTACCTACTTCTAGCCTCGAGCTCCACTGTGCGTCCGCTGTCGACATCATGCTGCTGGTAGCTTGTCCGTTCGTCCATATTGGGCAAAGTAGACTGAGTCGGCTGGAGAAGGCCCCGACCGAACAGACGACAAGCGCTGACTAGCGGACACTCTGCATAAATTTCATAGCTGAGCACCAAAGTTTGTGCTCGCCTAACACAGTCGCCCCCTATTAGTTCCTCCCTCTCTCCCTCTCTCTCCCCTCTTTCTATCTCTCCTCTTTTTCCCTCCTTCCCTCTCTCCCTCCCTCTCTATCTCTCTCTACCTCCCTCTCCCTCCTCTCTCTCGCTCCTCTCTCTCTCTCTTTCACTCTTCCTCACTCCTCCTCTCTCTCTCTAAAATTTATTGCTGTTAAATGCTGAGTGTATGGATTCTTTCTTTCCAGGCCGAGAATCCTGAGCTCGCTGACATATTTTTCGTTCGTACGAACGGTTAATACTCCTTCGCCGGGCCGAAAATTGTTGAGCGTGCTGGCTTTTGGGGTTCTGTCTCGGCTCTGGGCTGTGGGTGCAGCGCTGGGGCGGCGGCGAACTGTCGGAAAGCGGTCGAGGAGCCGACCGCCAATGGCGACGGTCACATTCAATGAGCTCACTTGTATTCAGCGCCAGCGTCGCCTCCCATAAGGCGCAGATTGTCGGAGGAGGGCAGCTGCTTCAGGGTCATGGGGTCAGACTCGGGGAGAGAGAGGGGGGGGGTCTGGTAATTTGGGAGGGACAAACGAGCTAACTTGTCCTGAGTGATACCCCAGGTCACGGCTTCAATTCGGTTAGTGGCAAGAGATGCTTTGCATGGAGACAGCAGTGGTATTTGGCGACTACGCTTTGTGGGTCTATCGGGTCACATGCCAGCTAGAACTTTGTAAGTTATCAGTGTCAACATACAAAGGCTTTTATTCCTACATTAATTGCTACACCATAGCGCGAACAACTTACATACAGAACAAAACGAATTCACCAGCTTGACAACGAAGGCTTATTAGCTGGCGTGGTTATTTAACCCTCGCACGACCAGGCCATTTCTCATAACACGAACGACCAGGGGGGGGGGGGGGGTTGTTACGACCCCCCCCCCTGGCGTTTCGAAACGGAAGGTCGTAGAGCTTAGCGGAAAAAACCAACGGATTGCTCTCAACGAGATCTCGCGATTGGTGGTATATTTTTTGGTCCTAGGTCAACATTTGACCTACTTTTGACCGGTCAAAGGTCAAATTTTCGGAAAAATAGACTTTTTTTCAACTTTCGGCGGTGATTGCGGCAAAACGGTGGGAAATATCGACTTGAAACCTTCACTATCGTGTTCCTTGATCAATTTTCTATCGTTTGGTATGTATTTCGCTTCCCTAGCTCTAAAAATGGCGCGTTGGGAGCGCCGGAAGTCGGCAAGGTCACAGTCGGCGGCAGAAATTCGAAAAATC